AAACATATTGTTTATGCTGTCAACCCACCTCCTATTCATGGCCTAGTACAGGAATTCCTGCTCCTCATTATCTATGGTGACTGACAGAGTTCATCATCCAGCTTATTCAGTTAGACAACTAACCTTCTATTTGTTAGCTAAATGGACTGGCATTTCTTATTATAAGATTACAATTAACCAAATATAAGATCATTAAACCTATTTCTGGACATTATTACTCATTTCAAGCTTGTAGTTTTCTTATTCTATTGGCAGATAATTTTGCATCTTTTTAGAAACAAATGCTTAAAATAATTAAAATTATCTGCCAGTAGAACATGACTATTTCAAGTTTGAAATGAGTACAAATGGCTTGGAATAGGTTTAATAATCTTATATTTGGTTTAGTGTAATAGGAAATACTAGCTAAATTTGACTGTATTCAAGGTATTTCCACTTGATAAGATGTCATTTTTGCAGTGAGTCTATAACTGGCAAAAACCCTAATACCTACAATCTTTACTGCAAAAGTCAACATTATTCCAGTGGTTTTATAGCCTTTTAGCACATTTACTTGCTAATCTAATTACGTAACCTAGGTTGCTACGCATCTTAAAAGCACTATTTGAGAGCAACAGCTTTTGTTTACTCACGTTACTAGCGACAACTCTTTGTTAGCTACATTAGCTTCAAAACATTGATATTCTTGACGGTTTTGTCTTGTTTCCACTGTCTTTGTGGCTATACATTATCTGTGTAAGACTTAATGATTATGTGCTAGCCTACTTATTTAAGATTTATTTAGATTTTTAGATTTTATTTTAGATTTTTTTTAAAAATTAATTTATCAACACATTTGACTGAGAAATGTATATTCTTGTTTTATTTTCCCTATCACTATGCCACCATATTGTGTTGGTAAGATCTAATGAATATGTGCTAGCTAGCTAAATCAAGATTTTTATTTATTTTTTATTTTACTAACACATCTGAAGGAAACTTTGATATTCTGTGCCTTTACATTGTCTACATAAAAGAGTTGAATTAGAGCTCAGCTTACTTAGGGCACCAGCTTTTGTTAGCTCACTTAATTTATTAGCTTTGCTAACATAGTTAACATATCTTGCTAGCTAGATTACAGGCACAGTTATTTCACCAGGTTTTTCCCCCATTTTGTAAAAGCTGTTCTGAGATTTAATTAAATTTTATTTCTTTTGATGTCATTACATTTTTGCAGTTTTTTCAGGCATATGGTGGATTACTTACAACAATTACTTATCATGTTCTTGTATTTATCTGAGTAAATTTTTGAGTTATTGCAGCTTTTACCCAGACCTTAACATAACTCTGAGGCCACTGCTGCACAATGTCTGTGCCCTGAAGTGCTCAATGAACTTTATGCAGCCATATTTTCAGAGAGAAGATTACTGTCTCCTTTAGCTGGGATTAGATTGGCTGGAAAGGTCTTCAGGGTTAGAAATACTCAGGAGTAGTCACAACTTCAAGTGGCAGCACAATCACAGTTGCTTTCAGTCCTCCCGCAGAAACACGAGGCTTTACTGGGGCTTTACTAATCTTTCCCACTGCAGAGTCTGGCAACCCAAGTTTCACTATACCAAGGGAAAAACACTGACGGAATTCTGGATTATTACTACTCTCTCTTAGCATTTTGCCCACATCTAAATGTAACTGTCTGAAGCCTCTTAATATAGCTGCCATTTTCTTTTTTTTCCCCCACATTCCATTCGAACATGTTGTTCTGCTCATATGGTTTTGAAGATAAATGTTATGTTTGATAAATTGTGAAGAATATCAAATGTTTTTTTTTTACTGCTCTTGCTGTGAGAGAATAAGGCTGGAAGACAGGGCTTTCTGTCCAGGCTAGAAGCTTCAAAAGGCCTTTGAATTAAATGTGACTCCATTGAGGAGAATGAAAAGTGTTGGACATGTGGGTGCTGTGCTGCAGGAGACGCCGGCTCTGTGCCACACTGAGAGATGATTCATTCTGGCATGATGGGTGTTTTGCATTTATCTTGCAACTTTTTATATACTGGAACTACCTTGTAACTACACTACAATATATTTTAGCAAACCTTCATTAGCTAACACGGTATATACAAGGGAGGACAAATCATAAATTCATTAAGTTGGACACTAGGCAAATAAAAGCTCCTGTGTGCGTGCCCAGTCCCATGTTTTGGTTGCCCTAATTGACTATGCTAAAAATTGGTAGCTAATGTAACATCATAACAAATGGCTAGATAGTTAGCTAGTTAAGTGCATTAATACAGACTAAAGGAAATTAACAAACATATGATCATCATCATATTCTAATGTGTTTGCACCTTCAACAAATAGTAAGTCACTGGCCAGCACTTTGGCTATGAGATTTCGCTAGCAGCCTTGTTTTTCCTTGATATATTTAACCATGAGGTAATTGCATGTAGAAAGCAGGAGAAGTATATGACGGCGCTGGAACTCTTTCCACATACACTATATGGCCAAAATTTTGTGGACACCTGACCATCACACCCATATGTGCTTTTTGAACATCCCGTTCCAGAGTTAATCCCCCTTTGCTGTTATAATAACCTCCACTCTTTTGCAAAGGTTTTTCACTAGATTTTGGAGCGTGACTGTGGGGATTTGTTTAGCCACAAGAGCATTAGTGAGGTCAGGCGCTGATGTTGTGCGAGGAGGCCTGGTGTGCAGTCAACGTTCCATTTCATCTCAGTGGTGTTCAGTGGGGTTGAGGTCAGGGCTCTGTGCAGGACACTTGAGTTCTTCCAAACCAACTTTGGCAAACCATGTCTTCATGGACCTTGCATTGTGCACAGGGGCATTGTCATGCTTGAACAGGATTGGACCCCTTAGTTCCAGTGAAGGGGAATTGTAATGTTATAGCATAGAAAGACATCCTATACAATTGTGTGCTTCCAACTTTGTGGCAACAGTTTGGGGAAGAACCACATATAGGTGTTATGGTGAGATGACCATGTACTTTTGGCAATATAGTGTACCTGCATGTTCCTGATTCTGAAAAGGTTGTCTGACATCTGTGCACACATATTATTTTGCCTTTTGCCAATGTGTAGTGCAACAGTCATTGGGATTCCGAATGAGTACCGTACACTATAGTTACAGCATTGAGGTGCGTCATACCACCATGAAGCACGTTAAAGTTAAAGCCTACTGTACATACCGCATGAAAGCTTTTATTTTGCAGAAGTCAATAAGGGGTACGTTTTTTTTTTTCTTTTCCTGTTTGTTGACCCTACTTATCTATGGGGAAACAATGAATTAAAAAACTAATAGTCCACACAAAATGTGCTTGTCGTGGGCGCCTGGACTAGTGATTTTTCCACCAGTGTAATATGTAGATACACACTGCAATATTGCAAAAATGTTTTATTCATGCCTTGAGTGTATAACTGCTGAAGATTCACAGCAGGTTTGTTGTCTGTATGATGGCATAGTGGTAGGAGATGTTTAAATCCTGGGGTAATGTTTTCTTATATTTGTTTGGAACTTTGTTAGTATTACAGAGTACATAGCCATACATACTATGTACTGTATGCCTAGCCATTAGAAGAAAATAGTGCGGGCTATCATGCATTCAGGTGAATGGTGGAGTACTTTTTTAATCATAGACATATTATAAAGTATTACAAATGGACATAAGAATAGTCATTTATATCCAGGACATTGCAAAGATCTGATAAACTCATAACACAGTCTTTCTCAGCCACTGCATTTGCTTTCTTATTGGACTCTTATTAATGTTTAATTTAACACAGCATGCATGTGTGAGAAGCTGTTGCTGTGGGAATGATTAATCCAGCTTCTGGTTCCTGCGGTCTGCCAGAAGCACGTGGGCAGCCCTCTGCCCTCCATACAGATTAATTATAAGGCCTTGTGTGTGCGGAGGGTGAGTGGGAGAGTTCTGAGTGAGAGGGACATGAATCAGTGGAAATCAATTTGAGATGAAATGTATCCTGTGCTCTCTCACCTAATCTCTGTTATGGGCTCTCATCTTCACAACTGGAATGCTGTACCCTATTGTGCCGAGAGAGAGAGAGAGAGAGAGAGAGAGAGAGAGAGAGTTACCAATTTAACCAAAGATTTGATGATTTGATGTCTTCCAGCTTAAAATGAGTTGTCTCTTTTGGACCCCAAATATATACACACTGTGGTCCAAAGGTCTGAGAACACTAGTGAAAATGCTTCTATGTTATTGACAACAACTTGAATGAAAAGTAGAATCTTTGAAATATTTACATGAATTTCAGAGTTTCTTAGTATTTGGTATGTCCCCTTTTAATGACAATGTGCACTTGTGCTGGCATGGACTCCACAAGTTCGTGCAAAACCTTCTGATCCATTTTAGATTAAATCCAGTGGCTTGTCTTCTGAACACATGCTACAGTAGAAGAGATAAGGCATGAGGAAAATCTGACCTTTTGTACAAAGCAGTTAACATGCTCAGTGTCACAAATTTGCTTACATTTAAATAGGGACTTAGAAATTAATAAATATTAAATAGTCAAGATATTGAACATTTACTTTCTTTGTTTTAAATATTTAAAAAATCTAAAGACTTCTGTTTATTTCCAATTTTAAATGGAAAAAAAAAATCCTAGATTGTTAATGTAGTCTCATATATTTACGTGTAAACACAGTCATAAATATGTCTAATACAGTATATTGGAGTTGAAATTAAATAATGAATATGAGCTCACAGTGCAGACTTTCAGCTCTAATTTGAGGATAGTTACATCTAAATCAGAGACCAAAAGTAATTGGACAAACTAACATAATCATAAGTTAAACTGTCATTGTTAGTACTTGGTTAATCAACTTTAGTTACGGACTTTTTCAAGAATTCCTGAAAGGTTCCATGCTTAGTGGCTTCCAGCTCTTTTAAAATGTCCCCTTCTTCCCTTCTGCTTTATGTCTGTAGCCATGACTAAATATCATTCAGCAAATTAATTTGCAGGTGTAGTCAGAGGAAAAAAGGAGGGTCCCTGGAGGACTAGTGGTTAGGCCGTAGTGCTCTCACCGCTGCGGCCTGGGATCGATTCCTGGCCAGGGAACCGACCCCAGCCACACAACAGTGTGCTGTCAGTGCCTGTATGAGTTCGGTCTGTTTCTCTAGCTTAGTCTGTGCTCAGTCCACGTACACCTGCTTGCCATGTAGTTCCTTTCCATTCGTTTCAGGCACAGCTTGCACACACACACACTACTGTCAGAATGAGTTCTTCTCGATCACTGTCATCTATTTGCAGCAGAACACCAGCGCTGTTCTGTTTTGGTAATCAGTGGTGCCAGCTCTGATACCATGTTCATTCTTTCATGGAAATTATCATACAAGCAACAACCACTACTCCTGATAACTGAATGTCCAATTTTGGTCTTGCAATCTTTTTTGTTTTCAACTTCATGAGGACTGAATGGAAGCTTCTGAGGCTCTGTGAGTTTTGTGTGGACTGCCAGGTCCCTGTGAAAATCATAAATACATCCATTTGGGAAATTTCTCCAAGACAGCAAGTCGTCAGCAAAAAATAAACTTGAGCAAGAAGAGATGGGCACATGACTACAGCCAACCCCTGTAGTAAAATAGTGTATTCGTCAAATTGGTAAAGCTAATTACTAATGTAATTATTCTTAACCCACACTCTCCCAACATTTTTCACAAAATTTGAACAAAAGAATCTCGAAAATCTAGGCTTACTGGGCCTATATAATGAACATGAGTATAGTTTCCCCCTCCTTAATCTTGAAGACTAAAGATACTATACAGTACTGTATGTTCAAAGATGACTATACTTTTGTGTGAGCTTAATTTAGCTAGATAAGTTCATATGTAATCTCCCAAATAAATCCCTCATCCAGCAGTCTATCCTTTGCAGCCTCCTTTTATACCCACTGCCGGACAGTTCCAAGAGTGTGGCTCACACAATACATTTGTGCTGCATTTATAGTCATTTACACAATCCATCATGACCTATTCCTCCTGCAACTTACCAGTATATCTGACCCATCCTTCATTTTTTTTGTTGCAGTTTTAATAAACAACAATGTAGTAAATGGAAAATGAAGAAAAGTGAACCTGGTAAACTGGCAATGATTGGCATTATTTGGTTAGTGCCTCGAAAATGAAGGTAGCCATCCAGTAAACTGTTTTTATGTGGATAGTTCTGCCCAGATGTGTGCCTTAGAATATAAAAATATTAAAAATACATTCATTCTTTTCAAGACATATGTCAAGCTATTGCATAACAAATATGCAACAGGCATAAAACTATAAGGTGATCAAGTGCAATCTTACATCTTTCATCCTTACATCCATGTTTCCATGTTATAAAACATGTTAGCCTTTAAGACACTACTAGGTGATACATAGCTGGTGTTGGTCTTGGTTAAGTCAACGCACATTAACCAAAACTGCCCTTATTATTGCAAATTGTTGCAATGAAACAAATAAACTTTTTAATTTTACCTCAAAGATAACATATCCTATCTGAAGACAATTTCAGGGATACAGGCAAATGCAGAGTAAATAAGGCGGGATCAAGTTATGCAGTCCAAAATTGTAAAGAGCATTTCCTGGACATTCTGAGCAAATGCTTTCTTCTGGGATTAAATGGGTTGGTAGTTCAGTTCCTACACTGTAAAACTGCAGGTTTGCTCAAAGTTTGTTCTTTTTAAATGAATACATAAGCCATCTCCAAATCCTTATTGGCTATAATACTTCTTCAGGGGTTCATATAAAATTAAAACTATATAAAATTGTCAGTGTGTCTGAAACAAGAGCTACATGCCAACAATGTTGGGAATGAATGACTGTTTGGATTTTGCGCATTGCCATATGTTATTAGCAGAATCATACATTACCACTCATCACTCATCCAAGCCAGCTATGATAGGTTACTTTTCTTTGCAGTAATTTCTGTACTAAACAGAATGCATTTTCAGCTTCCTGAAACATAATGTTTCTTTTCTGTAAATGCCTTATTTTGTTTACAAAGTGAACGCACAAAGATGGAAAAGGCTTCAGCTCTTTTGATTCTCTTGTTTATATTATTTGAGTTAAATGCCATTACAGTCTGTCATTTTGACATAGATTAATATCTTTGTTCCATTAGCCATTTGTTTTGCAATTATGGACTATTTTTGTTTTAGGATTCTTCAAAAAAATAAAAAATTAATTAACACTGGGGTGCATTAGTGTTTTTTTTTAATTATTATTAAAATGCATTTAACTAAAGCATTTAACTGCCACAGCATATAAAGCAGCTTCATGTTGTGAAAAGAAATGCTGTGTATTGATTCTTAGTATAACTTTGTTGTCAAGACATTTCAAGACTTTTGCTGATGTTTCACTGCAGTTTTGGTTACTGTCTTTGATTCAAGGTCTGTGCTCTTCAGCTGGGCATCTCAGCATGGTATGATATTGGTTTTGGGATAATGGGTGCCTCGATTATGTTTCAAAATAACTTTCGAAGGTCAGAAGTGAATGGTTGTGGGATTGTACCACAGTATACCCTCCATTATAGTCCAGTGCAGTGTTTATGGCTCCCGAGACAATATAGCTGCATAGTGTGGAGACTGAAGATGTTCTCATGTTCGCCCTGGTTTATCTAAGATCTGCCCCAAAAGCTTCAATTTCACACTCTTTTGCATTTACTTTGAGGTTAAGATGTAAAGCCTCATTAGCCCCATTTATTATTTTCTCTGGAAAGAAAAGCCTTTGATAAGTGCTTGTTAAGGCTCAGCCAAAAACTACCCCTTCAGTAAAATAACTTTCGAAAATGTAATCACTTGTGCTTATTCAAAATTGAAATGGTTGTGCAGAATAAATGCAGTTTTTAGCTAGAGTTTCAGTTTGCTTTTGAAAACCTTGATAAACATCATAGAGCTTTTTCAGGTGCTTTTCCCTTTACCAAAGCCTTCTTTATGATCTCTCTGAGTACTGCCTTCTAACACTGAGAGTGAGACAGTGGGGGTGATGGAAGATTGAAAGTAGGAAGGTGCATTAGCCAGCCTGGCTGAGAATTAAGGGCATGGGAGTCCTGTAATCAGACAAATGCAGAAGAGAGGGGTTGTTATCAGACACTCTTTAGATTACCATCTACCCTCTATGCCATCCTTCCCTTGAAATACCTTGGATGAGCTCAAATGAGGGTTAGGTTGATATAAATATAAATATATATATATATATATATATATATATATATATATATATAAAGTTAGGTAGAAGTGATATAAAAAGCAGTTAATGCAGATAGACTATGAGGAGAACATTGCTAGAAATAAGGTTTCAGCCTCACTTTTTAATACGGTGAGAGAATGAGCTCTTAACACGTTTAGCTTGTTTTTTTTTCTCTCATCTCTTTTTTTTATTAGCCTGAGCCAACAGTGTGTTCTTTTCTGGAGGTGTGTTTCTGGACCTGGCTGGGAAGAAGAGGTCATTGGGCACCTTTGAAAAAGTTGACATGTTAGTCTCCCTGGTGCATTATTTATGCTGTACACAATGAGAAGAGCAGATCTTTGCCTCCAGTAATTCACTTCTTATAATCCTCTCTGCGTGTGTGTATGTGTGTGTGTGCGTGTTGTGGCTTAACTAACTCTCTCTACCATTATTGCTCATTTTGAAGTAGAAAAAAGAAGCTAGCTGTCATTACAGAAATACACTAATCAATGCGAGCGGTGCGTAAGGCAACATGAGTCAAAAGCTTTACGAAAAGCTGAGTGCAGAGACATCCCTGATGTAAGCTCACTTCTACATGTCAAAGGCAGACCTTGCTGAAATTTACACTATAATCTGCATATCTGCTGTAGAGCCACAGGCAGCATCTGTCTTGATTACAGTGTTACATGCATTTGTCTAAATTTAAATGCATATATTTCATTTTACATGTTGCAAGCTAAGGTCCACATCATCATTTTACTTCAGATTGCATTTACGGCATTTGGCAGACGCCCTTATCCAGAGCGACTTACATTTATCTCATTTATACAACTGAGCAGTCAAGGGTTAAGGGCCTTGCTCAAGGGCCCAGCAGTGGCAGCGGATTGAACTCTTGACCTTCCGATCAGTAGTCCAACATCTTAACCACTGAGCTACCCCTGCCCCTGATTGCATCATTCACTTTGTGATTGGTATTTACAGCACCACTGTAAGTTCTAGCACTTACTCCAACCATTGTTGTTTGTTCTCCTTCTCTGTTCTTCCTACTTCCGCTTCAGTTTTCAGTTTTTCTAGCCAGAATACGAAAGTCCTGCAGTGCTTGTTATCACTGTTAGCTTCTTTTAATCTATACACTTGAGCTGTATTCTGCCTCACTTGAAAGTTGCTTTTGATCAAAGTGTATGCCGTGTGAGGATTAAAACATGACAGGGTGTGCTGTTATAGGAAAATAATGGATGATGGGATGGTAAGATGCAGGCAGATATAAAAGTTCCCTCACCACCTTTTTTTTAATGTCTCTTTTCATTAATAAGTTAATAAGATGAAAGATGGTATGTCATTTTACAGAGAAACCACAAAACACAAAGTCCTCTGTCTTGAAGACTTTTGCAGATAAATAGGAAGAAAAAGGAACTGCTTTACCTTTCTGGTCACAAAACTCTGTTACAAAGCGCTGTTAGTGTAGTGACAGTTGTTTAGTTCTTTATCTGTATTTTGGCACCCATTCAAAATATGTTTATAAAGAGTATCACTTAAAAGTGAACTGAAGAATACATTAGAATATGCAATAGAGAGAAAAACAAAGTCTGTTCCCTGGTCCATGGAAAAAGATTCAAATATAGTTCACAGCCATTTAAAAGTCAAATGCGGTCAGCAGAGAGTAGAGAACTGAGAGATCTTTGAATGCACAGTGGAGCCAGTCTGTTTATACTGAAGCTGTTCTAATGGTGAAAAACAAACCCCAAAGCGCCTCGATCTGTCCCTCACATTTGCATGCTGGAGCTGATGTTTTATTTTGCCTGCAGCTTTTGGGGCTTTTGAACTCTGTATGGCTGAAGCCATGAGTCATGTGTGGCACATATGGCTCTTTAGGATTGGTATAGAGTGCACAGGTGTTGATTT